ATCGCTGTTCTCTGTTGTCAAAAGTCTTCTACTTGATTTTGGGTCAGAAAAATCAATATTATTTTCCATAGCACAGCCAATAATGGTCCAAATGTGGAATGTCATATCTCGTAGGGCTCGTAATTTGATTGCTATGATTCCCAATTGGTTTGCATTCAAATCTGGGAAACTTAAATTTTTCGCATTTTTCACAAATTTTGATGATGGTACCCCTTATAAAAAATGCGAAATTTTGTTGAAAATTAATTTCTCTAAATCGGTAAACGAGTGATAGGGGTAGTAAGTTCTGGTCGTTAGAAGCACAAAACAGTCGTTCTTTTGGCTCTGCGTCTTGTTTTGACCGAGCTAGAGCTAAAAACCGCATATAATATTCAACATTTCTGTTAAAAATTAGTTTTTAGGTTATTTGCCATTAAATCAGCACTCGCACTAACAAAATCAGAACAAAAGTGATAAAAGTAAGTAAAGGAGTTTTAAGTACTGGTAGTCAGCTGCATAAAACAGTCTTTGTTTTTGCCGTGCGATTTCTTTTGACAAAGTTACAGCTAAGAAACTGCAAAAAATCGCTGTTCTCTGTTGTCAAAAGTCTTCTACTTGATTTTGGGTCAGAAAAATCAATATTTTTTTCCATAGCACAGCCAATAATGGTTAAAAATTAGTTTTTAGGTTTTTAGCCATTAAATCAGCACTCGCACTAACAAAATCAGAACAAAAGTGTTAAAAGTAAGTAAAAGAGTTTTAAGTACTGGTAGTCAGCTGCATAAAACAGTCTTTGTTTTTGCCGTGCGATTTCTTTTGACAAAGTTACAGCTAAGAAACTGCAAAAAATCACGGTTCTCTGTTGTTAAAAGTCGCCTACTTGATTTTGGGTCAGAAAAATCAATATTTTTTACCATAGCACAGCCAATAATGGTCCAAATGTGGAATGTCATATCTCGTAGGGCTCGTAATTTGATTGCTATGATTCCCAATTGGTTTGCATTCAAATCTGGGTAACTTAATTTTTTCGCATTTTTCGCAAATTTTGATGATGGTACCCCTTATCAAAAATGCGAAATTTTGTCGAAAATTAATTTCTCTAAATCGGAAAACGAGTGATAGGGGTAGTAAGTTCTGGTCGTTAGCAGCACAAAACAGTCGTTCTTTTGGCTCTGCGTCTTGTTTTGACCGAGCTAGAGCTAGAAACCGCATATAATATTCAACTTTTGTGTTAAAAATTAGTTTTTAGGTTTTTAGACATTAAATCAGCACTCGCACTAACAAAATCAGAACAAAAGTGTTAAAAGTAAGTAAAGGGGTTTTAAGTACTGGTAGTCAGCTGCATAAAACAGTCTTTGCTTTTGCCGTGCGATTTCTTTTGACAAAGTTACAGCTCAGAAACTTAAAAAAATCACGGTTCTCTGTTGTTAAAAGTCTTCTACTTGATTTTGGGTCAGAAAAATCAATATTATTTTCCATAGCACAGCCAATAATGGTCCAAATGTGGAATGTCATATCTCGTAGGGCTCGTAATTTGATTGCTATGATTCCCAATTGGTTTGCATTCAAATCTGGGAAACTTAAATTTTTCGCATTTTTCACAAATTTTGATGATGGTACCCCTTATAAAAAATGCGAAATTTTGTTGAAAATTAATTTCTCTAAATCGGTAAACGAGTGATAGGGGTAGTAAGTTCTGGTCGTTAGAAGCACAAAACAGTCGTTCTTTTGGCTCTGCGTCTTGTTTTGACCGAGCTAGAGCTAAAAACCGCATATAATATTCAACATTTCTGTTAAAAATTAGTTTTTAGGTTATTTGCCATTAAATCAGCACTCGCACTAACAAAATCAGAACAAAAGTGATAAAAGTAAGTAAAGGAGTTTTAAGTACTGGTAGTCAGCTGCATAAAACAGTCTTTGTTTTTGCCGTGCGATTTCTTTTGACAAAGTTACAGCTAAGAAACTGCAAAAAATCGCTGTTCTCTGTTGTCAAAAGTCTTCTACTTGATTTTGGGTCAGAAAAATCAATATTTTTTTCCATAGCACAGCCAATAATGGTTAAAAATTAGTTTTTAGGTTTTTAGCCATTAAATCAGCACTCGCACTAACAAAATCAGAACAAAAGTGTTAAAAGTAAGTAAAAGAGTTTTAAGTACTGGTAGTCAGCTGCATAAAACAGTCTTTGTTTTTGCCGTGCGATTTCTTTTGACAAAGTTACAGCTAAGAAACTGCAAAAAATCACGGTTCTCTGTTGTTAAAAGTCGCCTACTTGATTTTGGGTCAGAAAAATCAATATTTTTTACCATAGCACAGCCAATAATGGTCCAAATGTGGAATGTCATATCTCGTAGGGCTCGTAATTTGATTGCTATGATTCCCAATTGGTTTGCATTCAAATCTGGGAAACTTAAATTTTTCGCATTTTTCACAAATTTTGATGATGGTACCCCTTATCAAAAATGCGAAATTTTGTCGAAAATTAATTTCTCTAAATCGGTAAACGAGTGATAGGGGTAGTAAGTTCTGGTCGTTAGAAGCACAAAACAGTCGTTCTTTTGGCTCTGCGTCTTGTTTTGACCGAGCTAGAGCTAAAAACCGCATATAATATTCAACATTTCTGTTAAAAATTAGTTTTTAGGTTATTTGCCATTAAATCAGCACTCGCACTAACAAAATCAGAACAAAAGTGATAAAAGTAAGTAAAGGAGTTTTAAGTACTGGTAGTCAGCTGCATAAAACAGTCTTTGTTTTTGCATTGCGATTTCTTTTGACAAAGTAACAGCTAAGAAACTGCAAAAAATCGCTGTTCTCTGTTGTCAAAAGTCTTCTACTTGATTTTGGGTCAGAAAAATCAATATTTTTTTCCATAGCACAGCCAATAATGGTTAAAAATTAGTTTTTAGGTTTTTAGCCATTAAATCAGCACTCGCACTAACAAAATCAGAACAAAAGTGTTAAAAGTAAGTAAAAGAGTTTTAAGTACTGGTAGTCAGCTGCATAAAACAGTCTTTGTTTTTGCCGTGCGATTTCTTTTGACAAAGTTACAGCTAAGAAACTGCAAAAAATCACGGTTCTCTGTTGTTAAAAGTCGCCTACTTGATTTTGGGTCAGAAAAATCAATATTTTTTACCATAGCACAGCCAATAATGGTCCAAATGTGGAATGTCATATCTCGTAGGGCTCGTAATTTGATTGCTATGATTCCCAATTGGTTTGCATTCAAATCTGGGAAACTTAAATTTTTCGCATTTTTCACAAATTTTGATGATGGTACCCCCTTATCAAAAATGCGAAATTTTGTCGAAAATTAATTTCTCTAAATCGGAAAACGAGTGATAGAGGTAGTAACTTCTGGTCGTTAGAAGCACAAAACAGTCGTTCTTTTGGCTCTGCGTCTTGTTTTGACCGAGCTAGAGCTAAAAACCACATATAATATTCAACATATCTGTTAAAAATTAGTTTTTAGGTTTTTAGCCATTAAATCAGCACTCGCACTAACAAAATCAGAACAAAAGTGTTAAAAGTAAGTAAAGGAGTTTTAAGTACTGGTAGTCAGCTGCATAAAACAGTCTTTGTTTTTGCCGTGCGATATCTTTTGACAAAGTTACAGCTAAGAAACTGCAAAAAATCACGGTTCTCTGTTGTCAAAAGTCGCCTACTTGATTTTGGGTCAGAAAAATCAATATTTTTTACCATAGCACAGCCAATAATGGTCCAAATGTGGAATGTCATATCTCGTAGGCCTCGTAATTTGATTGCTATGATTCCCAATTGGTTTGCATTCAAATCTGGAAAACTTAAATTTTTCGCATTTCTCGCAAATTTTGATGATGGTACCCCTTATCAAAAATGCGAAATTTTGTCGAAAATTAATTTCTCTAAATCGGAAAACGAGTGATAGGGGTAGTAAGTTCTGGTCGTTAGCAGCACAAAACAGTCGTTCTTTTGGCTCTGCGTCTTGTTTTGACCGAGCTAGAGCTAAAAACCGCATATAATATTCAACATTTCTGTTAAAAATTAGTTTTTAGGTTATTTGCCATTAAATCAGCACTCGCACTAACAAAATCAGAACAAAAGTGTTAAAAGTAAGTAAAGGAGTTTTAAGTACTGGTAGTCAGCTGCATAAAACAGTCTTTGCTTTTGCCGTGCGATTTCTTTTGACAAAGTTACAGCTAAGAAACTGCAAAAAATCGCTGTTCTCTGTTATCAAAAGTTGCGTACTTGATTTTGGGTCAGAAAAATCAATTGTTTTACCATAGCACAGCCAATAATGGTCCAAATGTGGAATGTCATATCTCGTAGGGCTCGTAATTTGATTGCTATGATGCCCAATTGGTTTGCATTCAAATCTGGAAAACTTAAATTTTTCGCATTTCTCGCAAATTTTGATGATGGTACCCCTTATCAAAAATGCGAAATTTTGTCGAAAATTAATTTCTCTAAATCGGAAAACGAGTGATAGGGGTAGTAAGTTCTGGTTGTTAGCAGCACAAAACAGTCGTTCTTTTGGCTCTGCGTCTTGTTTTGACCGAGCTAGAGCTAAAAACCGCATATAATATTAAACATTTCTGTTAAAAATTAGTTTTTAGGTTTTTAGCCATTAAATCAGCACTCGCATCATCAAAATCAGAACCAAAGTGTTAAAAAGAAACAGACAGAAATTCTATATTATGACAATTTTTTGCTTTGCAATGGAAAGAATACTGATATTTCAAACATTGGTGTAGCCATAAAAAATATTTAATAAGATAATATTTTGTTTTATTCGAGAAAAATACAAATTTTTCTTTTTACGATCAAAAGAGGACCTACTTTAAAAGTTGGTTAAAAATAGAATTGAAGAACAACCAAAACGTCTGCATAGGTATAGAATTTATTTAATTACAGTTATAACATTAACATCTATATATAATGTATATATGTATGTATAAGATGCATTTCGCTATGGAGTTCCATTTGATCTTACGGGCCGAGAAACCTATAGAATCTGGAAGTGGCGGAAATAAAAACAAAACAAAGTGTACGAAATAAGTGTAATTTAATTGGTTTCTTCAAATTAACTTAAGAAATAACTAAAAAGTCTCTTAAATCATACAACTTATACGTTAACATTAAACAGCGCTACTTCTGTTTCAACTTGAAAAATGTGTTCGTTTTCCTTGCTGCTTATTTCTCCTTTTACTATTTTCTTTATAGCTTTTTGTTTCTGGTGACCTCGTGTAGATCTGATCGATAATCCTACTGTTAATGTGTTATATAATGTACAGTTTTTTTTAGTTTAGTTTTAAAACATACAACTAAATACGCACTAAACACTAATTAAACTGTATTTACATATCATACTTGTTAGAGTCTAAATAATTTAAATATTTTACAGTTGCTTTTTGTTTTTTTTTTCATTTACTCGTATTTTTTCTTTTTCATGTTTTTCTTTCGGTCACATAATTTACAAGTCGTGTGAAAACTTACGATTAAGTTTAAGGAGTGTTCAGAGAGGGTACTACAAAGGTATTATATTGTGAAGGGGGTACGTTCTTGTTATTATATTTTTCTGGGTGCCAGCATAATGGTATAAGAGGCCCTTGAAACTACCCAGCATTGTACAAAGTTTCGCGCATCAATAGCTAAAAGTGGAAGGAGATCGAAACGCCTACATTTAAATTTAGTTTTGTGGCAGTGGCGGTGGTGATATACAAGAAATTACAGAAATAAAGGCAACATACAAAAGATCAATAGATTAGAACTAAAAACTCTTTATGACTTTTTAAAGGGAACAAAAGAAACTCTGGCGCAGAGCAGAAGAACACGAAACGAAACGTGTTTAAGCTTTAAAGTATTTGGCTTAACATATTGATTATAATTATATACGCGTCTAAATAATGCTATGTAATGCATAATGTTTTTATGTGGGTGTATGTATCTTAGGAAAAGCCTCTGGGCGCATCTCTAAACCTAATTGTGCATGACAGCATTGGCGACAGTCCGGACTCATTTGAAGTTCTTTGGGTCTATGTCACGTCTTTGCCTTGTATACTAACTTACTAGGCAAGTAGGCATTACATAAAGCCAAGGAACATATCTGTCAGAAATTAAACGATTGGTTGGTGGAAGCGGAAACTTTGTAAAACACCGAGGAGTAACATTCCTATCGAATTATTCGAAAGTTATACACCAATCAAATTAGTCGTGTTAGAGATAGGATCAGATATTAATATTATGTATGGGTAGTAGTATGCGTAGTACAATAAACAGTTAATATGTTGTAAGCTTTCTTTAGCATTTCTTTTAATTTGTGTAATGGTGTAGGTTTTAGTGTAGTGTGTGTTTCTTTCCTTTTAAATTAAGCAAAAATAAAACTTTCTTTCTTGAGATCAAACTTAACGATACTTTGCAAGCTTTTTATTTAAGAGTTTAAATTAGGGAGAGTTAATAATGTTAGACAAATTTTCATCGTTTTGCTTCTGCTTTCAAAGTGTCGGAATTTGAAGGGATTACTTTTGCTTTGTTTTGAGGTCTCTTTCGGACCTCTGTATGTTTAGATGTGATCTTGGCCTCAACGTTCATCTGCTTCTATTGCAATCATATATTCCATAGTTTGCATTGTCGCATTCTTGTTTACCTTCTGTGTTTTCTTTTGCTTTTTTAAACTTTTGCTTGTTTAATCGCTATTTAAAATTACTTAATATACTAGAAGAGCGTAAACTCGTTTTTGTTGGTTTCTTTTTTCCAGTTAAACTTTTGTGGTACAATTCTTCTGTTTGGTTTATCATCCGGTTATATTTACCGCGTCGTTTCCGATATTTTTGAACTTCTGATGGTCATAGAATGTTCGGTAACTTAGACAGTGGCAATGACTATCAGGAGGTGTGCCAACTCGGCCACGCGATTTTTAAGATCCGGAGCAGCGCGCTCCAAATTTTCGTTAGCAAAATCGCAGGCCGGAAAGATGTGTACCACATATGCCGCCTGCTCGCTGCCCGGAATGGGTATGTTCACAATGCCGGCGGCCATTTTCTGTTGTAGATAGGTGATAAATCCGGTCTGGAGGTTCCTTGAATGCTGCAGAACATCGGCGTGATCTCTTCCGCATGGCAGAGCCAAAAGCATACAATGCTCCTTGTCCACCTGTGGGTTTTAAGAAAGATTATACTAATGTTGACCAAAATATTTAAAGCTATATCGGTTATATATACATACCTGCATCTTTTTAGCAACTCCTTCCAGTTGAGTCTGCTCCAATCGCATTCTCTGGGCAATTCTCAGTAATGGCGTGTTGGTCTCCACCAAACTAGGAAGTGACGCTCTTGCCACATTCGGGTTTCCATGCACGAAGTGCATTTGGACAGCGGCTTGATCCGTTTTCAGAGCCAGCAAACCCTGCCACATGACTGGATAACGTTGCAGCAAAGTGATCAGCGAGTCACCCGGTGGTGGAGCCATCGTTGGCGGAACTTGCTGGGCGGCTAATTCCATGCCAGCATGTAGAGCAGTTGGTAGATGCTCTTGCTGTTGTTTGACTGAAATTGTAAAGAACGAATATTTATTAGCTATACTTGCATTTAAAAGGTCACTTAACACTTACCGACAGCGGCGATAATAGACATGCGGTCCATCTCATCCAGTTGCATTTCTATTGCCTTGCTCGGGTGAAGGTGGCTTCCCGGCTGCACGCTGCCATCGCGTCCTATAAATGGACTTCCTGTGGAGACGGCAGGCATTTGTGGTGGGACCACTACGCTAATGGATGCAGACGGTCGATGGGCCGGCGGTGGTTCTAGCTGTAAGCCACTATCGTATAAGCCTCGCGAGGCAATTTCGCTAAAATGAGCCGGCGGAATCCGGGAATTGTGTACGTATACCTGCGCCATTTGCGGCGAGTCTAGAAGAAGGATTATCCGTTATTGGGGTCTGCGACGATGCTTAAAACCTAAAGAACTTACCAGCCGCAGTGCGATCCTGAGGGCTCTGCAAACTGTGTGGCACTGCGATAGCCCTTGGAGGTCCACTGCCAGGGCGTCGTAACTCTAACGGCGGACTGTTGCTCAGCTTGTCATCGTAGTCGCCACCGCGCATCAAGTGATGCTGGTAGAGCATGAAATCCCTGGAAGCAGTCACTCCGCGATATGTGGAATCGTTCTGGAAAAGATAAGTCGCAACAAATTTATTAAATAGTCAATCTTAACTTCAGGCATGTGATTCTATAAAAATAAAAGAAGTGCTCAATTTGGTTACGCTACTTGAAAGTTCCGCAAGCAAAACATGTTTATTACCGGTGTTATGGGCGATGCCTGCTGATGAGCTGGAGGCGGACTTTGCGTTCGCCGCCCACTGACGTAAACGCCCAGATCATGCTGCATCCCATTATTAATTTCGACAGTAGAAGTAATTAATAGTTAGTAATGTTTACATATAAAGTTCTTAAAATATTGAAGTTTACAATAAAATTCAAATAAAAACCAAACACATGTATTAAACAAAATTGATGACAAAAAAACGTTGTAACATTCTTAATTCGCGAACTCCCAGAAAATATTATTATTATTCATGACTTACCAAGTTGGTGTCGAAAGAGGGCACTCCGGTCATTCCAGGTGGTAAAACCAAGGGCGATACCCTTGGCTGGCCCTGCGGACTTATGTTTGGAATGGAGGTTCGTATTCCTGCAGATATTTAGGTTAGCTATGTTATATTATATAAGGTGGATGTAACTTACCAGTTGGTGCTACGGCGGAGTTGACCTGTTGCTGACCAGATTTAAAGACTGCCGCTGATACCGGCGGTGGACTGCCTACGCTCCCTGGTATAATCTGTCCAGTTTGTAGGCCGTGAACTACGGGATTTGGCTTTCCAGGTGGCGGCGAAGGAGTCAACTGATGCTGCTGAGGCTGCAGATGTGCTGGTAGTTTCTGCTGCATCAGAATTCCAGGGTGGCTGGGCAATATTAAGCCGTGAGATGGAAGTTGCACCGGTGCTCCCTTCTGCTGATTCGCTTGCTTGTACATATGCTGTTGCTGCTGCTGCTGAACTGGTGCAGACGAAGTGGGTGGCAAAACTGAAGGTGTGTAGCCAAAATTGGGCTTGCTCAGCTGCATATGAGCCCCTGTTGATGAAGTGGTTGGTGGGTGCTGCTGCTGCGGCTGCGAAACAACTGAAGCCTTGGAGCTCACCACGTGCAATATCTGCGGTGGTGTTGCTGAAGTTGTCTGCTTGATCACCAACGTTTGTGGCTGCTGTTGGGGACTTAAGGTAGCTCCTGGTCCCAATTGTTGCTGCTGACCCGTAATCCTTGGCGAGTGCGCTGTTGGTGGAGCGTTGGGCAAAAGTTGTTGCTGCTGCTGTTGCAGGTGACGTGCAATTATCTGGGGCTGCAATACTTGTTGAGCTCCTGAGGAATCTGTATGCAACATGTGCCCAGAATGCGATAGTTGCTGTTGTTGGGGTTGAGTCAATGGTTGCTTTGTGGGGGTCAGTTGCTGCTGAAGATTCTTTTCTCTGTTCAGCACATGAGCCTTAAGTGGCTGAGGTGCTCTTACATTGCTGTGCTGTGCATGCTGGAGAACAGTGGAAAGGGTATTCTGCTGCAGTACAATTGGTTGTTTTGGTGGAGCTACCATCTGTGGTTGGTGTTGCTGCTGAATTACCTGCGAGGTAGGGTTTCCTTTTACCAAAACACTCACCGGTTTATTGAGAAGAGCAGTTGCTGCCGCGGACTCAACTGGCACAGACTTTCCCAAAGCTGTTATCGAAGTTTGGGCGCCAGATGCAATCACAGTAGTACTAATCTGCAAGTTGCCTTGTTGCAGTGGTGCTTGCTGCGGATGTTGCTGCTGGCCGGAAGTTGAAACGGTTTCATTGTTACTGTTGGCAGGAGCAGCAGCAGTAGCTGCTGGCAGATTGCCCTCCTTGCCCTGGGGCATTCCTGCGGTGATCACTCCCGTAACGGGGTCCACAAGAGCTTTGCTGACCGCATCTGCTGCCCCGCCAGTAACCTTTTGAGTAGCAGGTGCGGCTGTCTGATGCATTGGCAATCCTGTGCTAGGAATTGATGAATTGATAGCCTGATAGGATTCAATCTCCGCTGCAGCAATAGCTTTCTTCTTGGGATGTTGCGGGATTGTAGGTTTTGAAGGGACCACAACAGGCGCAGGTGCTGGAACCGGGACCGTCACCGCAACAGGAGTAGGAATGGATGTTGCAACTGGAACTGGTTCCACTTCTTTACTATCCAATTGTGGCAAGTGAGACTGGGCACAAACTGCTTCAGATGGCTGCAGAAGGCTAGATGCAGGAGCCGGCTGCAGTTGGATTGGGTGCGATTGTCTCCTCAATCATGCTTACTGGCGGCTCGCCAATGGTCTTCCTGTCCTTTGAACGTCTTGGACGTCCAACCGTGTTAGCAGGAAGTGCAGCATCGATCTTCTTGGCCTGCGTATTTCTGCCAGAACGTCGTGGTGGAGTTTGCGCACCTTTTGGCAGTTGCTGACCTGATCCAGTTGGGGTGTTTGTATTTCGCACCACATCCTCGATAATATCGTCTACTGTACTGCGATCCTCCTTTTCCTGTAGACGGCGTGATTTGCGTGTATTACTGGACTCGGAGCTGTCCCCTCCGATTGGATCAATTTGTAATGCAGCGTCCGGCTGCTGGAGTTGTTGTTGCATAGGCTGTTCCAGTTCAGTACTATTCTTTATCGAGGGTTGGGTTTTGTTGATGGTGAGAATAAGTCTTGGTCGCTGGTCCTCTGTAGGTGGAGTTATAGTAGAATTAGATTTGGCCTTTGGCTCTTCACCAGCGTCATCATGAAATTCGTAGATATCCTGACTAGTTCCAACTTGACTCGCGACTTGATTTTGGGCTTGCGCCTGAGTCAATGCTTGATTTCTAGCCTTTTTCTCAGCAGCAGTGAGTACAGGACTGGGAGGAATCGAAACTGCTGGTGGTGAATCTGCAGGGGTGGTCGCAGCTACCATTTCCAATGCCTTTCTTTGGAGATCGAGCTGCTGTTGCTGAAGTTGCTGTTGCTGCAGTAACAGATTCCTAGGAGGGCGTCCTTTTCTGCCTCTGGTCACCGGAGCTGTCACTGGTTTCCTCAGTCTGGTTTGGACTCCATTGTCACCTGGTTGTAATACAAATCCAGAATCCGCTCCAGGGGTTGCTGTTGCTGAATTAAGAGGGAAGCCTCCCAGCTTCTTTGCTCCTCTCGGTTGACGTCCCCGCTTGCCGCTGCCTCCCCTGCCTGGTGGTCGGCCAACAGTGGGTACGGCAGGCTTTGTAGGCGGCAATTGTTTGGTTTCCGTCTCGTCCTCCGTGTCGTGATCGTTAGAGCTGTTCACATTCACTGAAGGAGTGGGCATAGAAGACTCTTGGGCGACAGAATGTTCCACAGGCTGCGGTTTCAAAATACCAGACGATGCAACTGCTTGCATTTCCACTAGCCGTTTGTCATCTTTAGTAGCCAATGGAGTATCGAGTTTCTTGATCACACTGTCAATATTCACCTCCTTAGCTGACCAGTAATCGCTGTCTACTTCTTTAGAATCCTGTTCGATAAGCTCATCATGCTTCGGCTGTGAGATCTTTATTAGATTCTCCTCCGTTAACAATGAGGCTCCAGGCTTCGGTGAGACTACCGCCGAACTGGTGGTTGGGGTGGGTGTACGAATCACTGAGACACTTTCCGATGTTTTTAGGGATAAAATAGCCGGTGTAAGCTCCACATGACCAGGAGCAGGACTCTCCTTGGTCTGGTTTGGGTGATAGTGTATGGCATTCGTTGAGGTTGGTGGTTGTGCAATTTGGTTTGGTGGAGGTACAATATGCTGTTGGACAATCAATTTTGGGGTATTGGGAATTACATTAAGGGGCGCTTGAAGAGAAAGATTTCCTACTGGCGAAGACAATTGCTTCTGGTGTCCTGGCGGTAGTTGCTGCTGGTGTGCCTGTGATTGCGGTCCAACTCGGGACAATATTGTTGTAGGCTGAGGGACTTGGGCCACTGGACCTATAGGTTTGCTGGGTGGACTGTGAGGCAATTGCTGAGGATGTTGTTGCTGAGTAACACTTCTTGGTGGAAGCTGCGGATGATGTTGTTGTGATGCAAACATAGACGGTGGAGCTCCCAATTGAGCGGCTCCCTGAGGCGACTGTTGCTGCTGTTGAGGACCATGGAGCTGTTGTAATTTTTGTATTTGCTGCAATTGCTGTTGCTGTGATTGTTGTTGCTGGTTCAACTGCTGCTGCTGAGGCTGAATTTGCTGATGTGCCTGGTGTTGGTTGAACTGTTGCTGAGCCTGAAGCTGTTTCTGAACCTGATGTTGTTGCTGAGAATGATGTTGCTGGCTCAGCTGTGGCTGGTTTTGGTTCTGTTGTTGTGGCTGATGTTGCTGCTGTGCTTGATGGTGCTGCTGGGCCTGATGCTGTTGCTGAATTTGGTGATGAATAGCTGGCGTTAATGGCTGCGTCTGACCATGAAGTTGTTGTTGCTGCATATGTTGTTGTTGTTGTCGCTGTATCATCTGCTGATGCATAAACTGTTGCATGTGCTGATGTTGCTGATGCGCCGACATCTTGGCCATTAACTGCGGCGAATGTTGCTGCTGGTGGGACTGATGATGTTGCTGTTGCGCATTCACATGAATGTTCTTGTTAGGCGGCAAGCTGCCTAGTGGAGGCGAATTAGCCACTTGGGATTGGGTGGCCTGTTGTGGCTGCACGGTAACTACTTTGCTGATAATGGTTGGATGATGAGGCACTGGCATCGCTGGCATTTTTTGGACGGGAATCGGCATTAACTGTGATGAAGGCTGCAGATCAATTACAGATTTGGGTGACAGTTGCTGTGACCCCTGCTGTTGTTGTTGCTGTTGGTTTCTGGGCTGGTAATTGATTTGTTTATTGGCAGTGGGAGAACTGTTGGCAGCCAAAACTCGAGCTGTTGGACTTGCCAATGGACTTATGTTGCTACCTTGTGGACTAGTCATCAGCGCATGTTGTTGCTGTGGCTGAGACTGTGTTGCTGGCTGGTTTACCACAGGTCGCCCAACTGGACTCAGTTGACCTACCAAGCGGTTTTGGGGTCCGCATCGTCCTGGCGAATGAAGTGGACTGTGTGGAGAAGGAGCCCTAATGCCAACCATATAACTTCCAGGTTGTTGGGGGTGATGGGACTGCTGATGTGGAGACAGAACCATTTGAGGAACTACGAAATGAGGTGTCGGTTCCGGTATGGATATCGTTGGTGGTTGCATTATCAACGATTGTGTTCGCAGAGTTTGTTGCGGTGCTAACGGAGCCTGCTTGGGAGTCGAAGCTTGTGGCATAATATTCGGACTTGGAGTTGGACTTCCAAATGAGATCGATGCAGAAGCTGAAGCTGTTGTAGACGCCGCGCTGGAGTTAGAGCAATTGTTCATTACATTGGACAGATCTAGGCTGATGACGGGAGTTGAATTTACTACGCTTCCTGCTGAATGGGGGGCTGGCAAAACGGTCTGCACAGGCTGGACTAAAGGTTGTTGTAGTTTACTGATGGTTGGAGGTTCAATCTTAGCAGGGGAAGAGGATAAGCCGGATCCAGCTAAAGGTGATTTCTTCTGTGTCTCTAAGGATGGCAGCTTGGTGATCACGGAAGTTTGCGGTACGGTCTCAATACTGGGCTTGGGTTTCGACTCTTCCAGAGGTAAGTCTAACTTCGACGTGTCTCTGGCAAAGGAACTGGTATTGCTGAATGACTTTTCCGGAGACGAAGAGCTTTGCACAGTTTCATCAATCTTTAGACTAGGTCCACTGCTGTCAGCTTCATCAGGATTTTCTTCTGTGTCGGTATCAATCTGCAGATCTCTCTCAGATTGCGGTGTATCCGCCTTGATGTCCATCATATCCTCGTGCCTTAAACTTTGCACCGCCTTGTTGATTTCATCGGGATCCAAGACTTCAACGGGCCGTTCTGATTCCGTTTCCGGTTCCGGTTCAGGTTCAGGCTCTGTTTCGGGCTCCATTTCTGGCTCCTCCAGGATGGCTGCGGGCTCCCCAGCTGCCTCAATGGCCTTAGCCGCTAAAGCTGCCTCTTCATCGGGCTCTGCTATTACTAGAGCGGGAGTTTCTATCTCACTTACCGAATTCATTTCATCCATGCCATCGAGTGAGTAATCAGCTGTGGAGGAAGTACCAAAACTTTCACCCAACAAAGCGGATACGGCACTTTCAGTCTCTTCCTGAGAGATGGTCACGCGGGACTTGCTATCTTCAAGCTTGTCCACAATTTTAGTGGTACACGGGGGCGATGCGACTGGAATTTTCGGCTCATCTGTCAGGTTATCGAGAACAGATGAAGTAAACTCTGCAGAAATAGATTGCACAGCAGATTCGCTTATTCTATCATCCATCTGTCCGTCAAAGCCGGGTATAAAGATATCCTTCTTTTTGTTTACAGATGAGACACTTGTAGGAGAACTCTCCACTCCTGCCGCTGCAATTACTACTGCTGCACTATTTGCCACTGCTGTTGAAGATGTTGGCGTAGTGGCCAGAGCAGAAGAGGAATTTACCCCAGCTCCACTGCTCACAGGAGTCTCTGCAGACTGAGTGGACAGCATGGAGCTGTTGTTTATAGTTGGAGTTTTTGGTATAGGACTAATTAAGCGGGGTTTCTCGCGCGAGGGAGTGAGACTATCACTGCCACGACTCGTGGGGGTCTGAGGCTTCCCCTTCGGGGTGGTCAGCAGATCTTCGTCATCGTCGCCTAATAGACATGGTAAACTAGGAGATGGCTTGCATAAGGGTGGAGAAGAAACCAGCTTAGCATCCAACTGCTCTTCTGCATGCTTGCTAGCAGCTTGAACGTTGACAGTCAGCTTTCCAGGAGTAGGAGGCGCGGATAGGGTGGGAGCTACACTTGGCAATGATTCCCTACGGTGCTGTAGCATCAATTTCTCTTGTTTCTCCTCCTTGGATCGCTTCTTCTTCTTCTTTTTGTCTTTGCTCTTATGCTGCTCTTGCTGCTCCTGCTTGGGACCCTGTTTAACAATCTCTACTGATTGATTGTCTTCGTTGTCAGAGAATCGGAACACATCTGCCATATCTGATCTGTAGGTGGCGGCTGTAGATGGAGTGACTTCCTCTGGATTAGTCTTGCTGTCAAAGTCAATCATAAGTTGAGCCTCTAGAGCTCGTCCTGCTTCATCCATGTCCACGCTGTTATCATCATCCACTTTAGTCTCAACTTTCGCGGATTGCTGCTGTGCTTGATGATGTAGTTCTCGCTGAGTTTTTTCGCGCCGTTTCTTTTCGCGCTTCTCTTTCCTATGCCTCTCCCTATCTGCATGTGAAGATGAGCTGCTGCCTCCCGTCTGTCGACTTCTCTCCAGATGCTGTTGATGCTCATCCTTCTGCACAGGCAATGGATTCAGTGCTTCCTGATTCTTGGTGGTAGGTGTAGAGGGCTCCTGTTTGTAGGTTTGCAGCGCAGCTGATACGATTGGACCGGTGGTAGAAACACAGCTGGCCATAACATCCTTATTAATTTCTACTTGCTCTGGAAACTGGGACTCGTCCTCATCGGAAATTATGCCAAAGATAAACTCCATTTTATCATCTCCTCTCTTAGAAGTTTGAGCGAGTAAAGGCGCAGACGTGGGCGTGGGAGGTGAAGTAGTATGATGAGCTCCACCAGAGTTGTATATTTTTGTGGTAGAGGATGTATCCAGGCTCTTCGATTTTTTGGACTTCTTTAGGCGATGTCGTTCTTCCTTTGATAATTTTTCAGAACTTAAATCATTGCTGGTAGGCGAATTGCCTATAGTAGTGATGCTATTGATCTCCGTTATATTCCGCAACTTCTCGCGTTTCTTTTCTTTTCTTTCCTTGTGCTTTCTCCTTTCACTGGCTGAAACCTCTAACGAAATCGAAGTACTCTCAGTTTTAAGGTCATCAAAACTATCGAACTTGGTTTTGCACTCCGAAGAGGAATGAACATCAAAAATGGAGGGCGTCGTTGGAGTCACTAGCAGAGGTGTTGGTGGAGCAGATGTCTCCGCTGTAGAGGAGGACTTTAATCGTCTCTTGCTCTTCTTGTGCTTTTTGCGAGTTTCTGGAGAGAAGTCCTTGAGCTTTCCAGAATCAACATAGTTATAAGCAGCTGAATTATAGAAATCTCCAAGCTCTTTCTTTACCTCGCTTTCGGTCTTCAAATTGCGTTCATCTATTGAGGAATTAGAATCATGGCGAGACTTGAACTTCTGTTCGTTATCAGAGAGCTGCTCTGTTTTAATTTCTAAGACGGCAGTTGCAGACGGTTCCTGTTTGATCGCTAAATCAGGAGCTGGGAGGGATTGCGACTCCGAGTCAGATGCAATTCTGGTAGAATGAGAGTTTCTCTTACCAAGATGACTGTGCTTCATCACGTTCCTTCTAATCTCGTCCTCGGAGCTGTCGTCACCATCGCAAAGCCTCCTCAAATTCTGCTGCATCTGACGCAACCTGTTAGCATCAGGCAGGGAGCCTGCATCCTGGTGATCCTGATCTCCATGCTCTGCATCCGAATCGGAAGAAATACGCCGTTGGTGGCAGTCCTCATCATGATCATCATCGCTGCTGGACAGCCCAGGATAGCGACCATGAAAACTGCTGCTTCCACTATTACGATGATGACGATCTTCGAACTCTGTGTCCGAATCCCCATCATAGCTTGTAGATCGCTTCTTTTTGGCACGAGACTGCTTTAACTGTGAGAACTTAGCCTTGATCTTTTTTTCTTCAGCCTGGCGTTGCATATTTTTACAGCTCCTGGCTTTAACTTTGTCGTACATTGAGACATTTGGACAATCGTCTGGGATGTCAAAGATAGAGTGCTTCTTTGAGGCATCATCACTATCATCAGAGTCTGCGGAGCTTAGCATCATCAGTTTGGCGCGAAGCAATTTTGACGAAGAGTTATGACCTTCATCAGATCCCCTTGACGACTTGCGCTCCACACTTCGCCTGTGGTGGTGATGGGTTTTTCCACTCGATGTATTAGTGGCTGCTGAGCTGAGTTCCCCTGCAGATCCACTTCCTGCAGCAGAGATTCTCCTGTGAGGATTATGCTGCAGAGGTGTATGCTCTTCATCTGTGTTTGTGGATTCCGCCAGCGAATGTCGCTTTTTCTCGCGATGATGATGATGATCTCTTTTACTTTTATGTCTGGAGGATGAACTACTGCCATGATGCTGACTACTAGGTTGATCCCTTGCCTTCTCTTTTTTCGGTTGAGGATGCTGTTCCTCTTCACTCGTATTTAAATGCTGCTTGGTTTGGGAGGAGGTGTCAACCATCATCTCAATGGAGGGATTGGTTTCCATGGCAATAACACTGCTCTTCTGGTGATGCTTATCCCGACGATGATGTTTTGAGGATGAGAAAGAACTTCCTCCACTACTATGAGTCTTTGAAATGTGTGAACTACTATTTTTCTCTTCCTTGGAATTACCACTCTTGTGCTCTTTGGAGTCCCTACGATCGTTTAACCTTTGGTTACTGTTCTGGGAGGTCTCCATTCGTATGCGTTTCACATAATCCTCATTGTGATTCTGATGACTGGATGACTGACATGATACGCCACCTCCGGCACTGTGGTTGCTTTCCTGTGAGCTGAGACGTCGCTTATGCAGGCGCACTGGAGAATTTCTGGACAATTTTCGCGAACGATTCTTGGAGGCGCTATCTGCAGGGGTTGATGGAGAAGCAATCGGAGTACCGGGAGGTGCGACATCTACCGCGTTTTCTTTGTTGTGCTGGCAATCGCTAGAGGCGGTAGAGGGAGCGATATTGTTCTGGGAATAGAAGCTGGTGGACTCAGCGGTGGAATCGGTTTTGCTTTTCTGGTACGAGGAGAGTTCACGCATTTTGCATATACGAGCTTCTTGGTCGGTATCCACGGCGCGCCGAGGTTGCTCCTTTTCTCTGTGCTCCCTGTCTCGTTGATCCTTGTCGCGGTGGAGCTCCTTTTCCCTTTGCTCATCACGCAATTCCTTTCCCCTTTGCTCCTTCTCTCTTTGCGCCTTTTCGTGCAGCTCTTTTTCTTGGATTTCCCTTTCCTTTTGCGCTTTTTCGCGTTGCTCCTTTTCTCTAAGCTCTTGCTCTTCTCGTTCTTTTTTTTGCCGGTCCTCTTGAGCCCTTTTCTCTCTCTCCTTTTCCATTTCTTTCTCCTCTTTCACCTTTCGATCTTCTCTTTCTCTTTCCTCCTGCACAGCTTTACGCTCCTTCTCTTCTCGCTCGAGCTGTTTGCGAAGATCCTTCTCTCGTTTCTCTTTTTCCTGCCGATCCTTTTTCTCCCTCTCATGACGCTGGTCTTTTTCGGATTTATCCATTGGCTCTTCGGGCTCACTGGAATCATCTTCAATGCGTGGAGTAGCTGATTTGGAGGACTGCGATGTTCCAGAGTTCTTTCGCTTATCGGAGACCGAAGCAGACGACGAATGTTTTTCAGACTTTTTGTTCTTCTTGTCGCTGTCCGATCGATTGTTGTGTTTGCTATGTAATTTGTCGTGACTGCTGGTGATCTTCTTTGAACTGGAACTCGATGATTGGGATGAGGAAAAACCGCTCTTTTTCGACTGCTCTTCCTCACTGAAGGTCGGCTGTGGTAGCTTTTGTACATGTGTCGCTGCTGTGGCTGAGGAACTGTTACCGTTGGACGATGATGATGAAATTGATGCAGGTGTGGACGAAGAGGCTGTTACTGATCCAGAGGATGAGCTGATGGGAGTGCCCATGTTGGTGCTCCCCGGCACTGAGGCAGATTTCTGAAGTTGAACTCTTGGTGCCGATGGTTGAGGAGCATCTGGCACGCTTAAACTCTTAGTCAGATTGCCACCAGAAGCTTGGCCAGCTGATCTGGATTGTTTACCCATTTCTGGTGGAGGTGGTGGCGCCGGTTGCACAGCTGGCGGTGGGGCCGCAGTATTTGGCAATGGCGGGTGACTGGGAAACGGATACTGCAGGCCTTTAGTAGGCCCGGAAGTGGCAGCTGGTGAGGATGAGGCGGCGGAAGTTCCTCCACTTACTGTGCCCGGTGGTATAGGTTTGGTTAGCTGCCCCAAGTTTGCTGAAGGTCCCACCGAAGGTGAGGGGGATGGACTGTTGTAGGGAGACATCGAAGCTTGAGGAGAGTTCATGGGTGACAAACTACTTAGCCTCTGAAGCAATCCTGCCGTTTTGCAACTCGTTGAGTTTCCCAACCCACTACTACAACTTCCAATAATAGTAGTTGTCTTGCTCGCAGACAAATTGGGCAAAGCAGGTGAGGTGTTCCCGCTACATGGGCCGCCAGGATGTCGGGATACACTAGAAGATCCCACACCCGTATTGGAACTTGATCCCAATGCGAAATCACAGCTGGCTGGATCGTACCATTGATTTTTATTCAACCGTTTTAAGTCGTCATCAAAGACGCTTTTCTTGGCCAGTACGGATTTTACAATATCCGAGGGTTGGAGCTCATCTATGTCCAGGAACTTGTGCCGGGAGTTGCTCGTAGAACTGGATACAGTTCCACTTGAACTGTTACTATTTCCGGATGCCGAACTTGTTTGATGAGAACTCAGGCCGCTGCCCAAATTCATGTGCATGGAGAGCTGCCACGTTGGCGTGGCACTTAAGGCCGTATGTCCAGAAACATGTTCCCTACTACTTCCGCCAGACCATCTCTCGTAATTTTCCTCAAAGTTTCGGAGTCGTTCATCCAGTGACGGACTTCCTCCTGCATTTTGTCCAGGAACATCTGAATCACTGGAGTTGGAACTTAGTGAACGTGGACGTGCTGGACTGGCCATCAAACCAGAATTGGAAGATGTGGATCCGTGCAATTGCTGCGACTGCTGCTGGTGATTATGCTGGTGGTGTTGGTGGTGCGAAGAGGAACGCCAATATCGCGAGGATGGGCTGGGGAGGAATGTGGATCCAGAACAGCCCATTCCTTGACTTGCGTTTAGACTAGAGTTGTTGAGGGAGCATGACGAGGAGGATGAAACTCCTAAGCCTCCCAACCCTCCGGAAGATCCTCCCCCCAGTTGCTGCTGCAGATAGCTGTTCCCCGTTCCGCATCCACTGCTTCTAGACTGCTGTTGCTGAAAGAAAAGCACTCCGAACTTTGGCAAGGGAAGCAACATCACATCCCTGACTCTCTCCCTTGTTCTTTCTCTGGGAGGAGGCAAGCGGCGTGGTTCTGTGGGCAACACTTCAGGTCGCTCATCGCACAACGGCGTTCCAGGGCGAGATCCATCTGCACTCTCTCCACCGCTGGCCTCATGTGAGTGATGGGAATGTAGCTGATGGCCCCTGCCTCTGGAGACATGATGATGGAAATCATCCGCCTGCGGTAGACTACTAATTCCACCTAATACAGATCCACTAGACGTACCGCTGGTTAGGGATGAACTGGGCTGTTGCATTGTAGTGGTTACTCGTCTTCTCTTCGCAGCCAATGATGCGTTTATTATATGCTGCTGATCCATACTACTGGCTCCAACGATTCCATGCCGGAAAGCCGAGGAACTGGAAAGCGCCGACAATGCTCCCACATCGATGGACGGACGCCGGCAGCTGATCATCATGGATGGGGGAGCGGACGGCAGGTGGCCGGGGAACTTCATACTTAGGGAACCAGACGGGGTCTCGGAGACTCGCCGGATTTCACTTTTGCGGTTGAGGGGATCATGTATTACATCACAGTTCGACAAAGGGAGAGGACTGGGTTTGTTGATGCTCATGTGCTCGTTAGAGGACTCCAGCTGAAATAAAAATGATGTAAGAAATAAAAATAGGATCACATGTTTATATTAATATTTCAATTCTAAACCTTTTGGATAAAATTTAAAATATATTTCATAACTATCATAATTATGCCTAATGAATAAATTTTCTTAAAATTGCGAACAAGTTTCTTTCCAATAAAAAGTTTTACTCACCCCGCTGGTATTGGAATGATGGTGGTGATGGTGATAATCAATTTTGATACGCTTACGCGGACTAACCACGCCCTCATCACCACTGGACGGGCATTCCTCAAGTTGTTCTGCCAAATGGAAACGTTGATTGTAAACGGGGTGCAAGTCTTTGGGTGTCTTACCGCAACGTCTTCGGCTGAGACTGTTGCTGCCGGATCCAGTGAATCCATCTGACCCACCCGTCTCTGCACATGGTCCACCACCAATCCGACTGTTGTTCAACGTCCCATCGACGGATTCTCCAAATGCTCCTACAGATCCAGTCAAACAATTTACAGCTGTACCTTGTCGAGAAATAACTGGGGAATCGGAGTGGACTTCTTCGGGCTGCGTTGGATTTCCTGCACTTCCAGCAACCTCCTCAGAGTTACGGAACCGAAGGCGACTCACATCATTAAAGTCAAAGTCGACGGTTTGACGGGCATTTCGAACCATTCGATGCCTCGGCGCTAGAGCAGCCGGTGACATGGGCATCAAACTGGAGGAGGAACTTGCTACTAAGGGCATAGATGCGGCCGCGGGCACCGTTCCCGAGGTGTTGCCACTACTGTTTACTGAACCAGATGCTAGACTGGGAGCTGGCATCGCACTGTTCGCAATGATACCAATGCTTGAAGTGATTATGCTGTTGGTGCTTTGGTTAGTTGTACTGCTTCCGCTGGCCATTCCACTGCTAACTCCTCCTGGCGTATTGCTGGGGGAACAGCTGTCATTTGAATTGTTCTGGTGGCGGCTAAAAGAAGATGCGCGGGATCGGGATTGCGATGAGGAGGCAGTCGACTCATAACGACTAAATCGCGAATTAGAACCTGGAAAAGACAATGTTAGTACTATGGATTTTATTGTCATAGCTCATTACGATTTTGAAACGTACTCGAACTCTGTGGTTGCTGCTGCTGTTTTTCCTGTTTGTCGTAAAATGCGTCCTGACACTCCCTCGACGCAAAATCTACTTGCAACTTTCTTCCTCGCATGATCGTCCCGCGCATATCCTTTACTGCGGCTTGGGCATTCTGCACTTGGTCATATAAAACCAGGGCCAACTGCCTGGTTCGGTCTATACTGACCTTGGTCACGGTCCCAAACCGCGTGAACTGGGACTGAAGAAACGACTCCGAGACCTTTTCGCTTACACCATCAATCCAGACGCAGTTTGTGGGCATGGATTTGCCGAAACCCAGCTTTATCCGGTTACTGCCTAAGTGCTCGCCATCCATTTTACGCATTGCCTTCACCACGGAGACAATGTCCGAATACTGACAAAACGCATAGGCGTTTAGGCCCTGCTTCTTGATGTCGATCTCGATGATCTCGCCAAAGCCCTCAAAGTGTCCCCGCAGCTCACCGGCGGTGATGTCCTTCTCCAGGTTCCCGATAAAGAGTGTCCTCGTGGACTTTGGATGATACTCATCCAGCTCGGCCTCGTAGGGTCGGAACTCGTTATCTTCGACATCATAGCCTTGGTACGGTTCCACCTCGATCTTGCAGCCGAAGAAGTGCTTGTCATGTGAGACCTCCAACGCTTTTTCAACGTCATCCGGCTTCTTAAAGCAAACCAGAGCGTAGCGCTCCGAGTTTTGTCCAACCACCTTCACCCACGTGACCTTGCCGTGCTTTTTGTACTCATGAAATAGACCATCCTTCAGAGATGTATCCGAGGAACGGGCGGGAAGGTTACGGACACGTATCGCCAGAGGCCGGTTGTCTTCGGAATGCACAACCGGGTTGCCAGTCAAACAAGAGGAGGATCCGCTGGAACTTGAGCTACTGCTTGAAGATGAACTGGAGCCACAGCCTCCGCCTGCGCTGGTGGCGTTTGCAACATTGCTACTGGGATTAGAAGAGTTGCCTACGGAGGTAAAGATTGTACTTAATTGATCTCCTCTGTTTAATATTTTTGAGAATACTCACTGCTTACGGCGACTGACTGCAAGGTGCGCGCACTACGCCCCTCTGCCAAAGGGCAATTGCCTGTGGATTGGACGGGACTGGACGCGTGCGAGTGGGATGAGGAGTGTGATGAAGACGAGGAGCTGTGCGAACTACTGTAGCTGCTCGGCGATCGCGAGTGTGAGCGGCTGGAGGAGGTGGTGCTGCGTCCATGCATGTGTTGTCGCGTCCGGATCGGATTCGTAGAAATTCCATTGTCCACGGCGGCGGCCAAAGCAGCGGCTACATTTAGAATGTCGCCACTGACAGAACCGGAAGTGGTATTGGAACCAGCTCCCGCTGCTGCACCAGATCCTAATCCTATCGATCCTGCAGCTCCAGATGCTATCGTTGGCATCGTCGGAGTTGCCGTGGTTATTGTATTATTTAAACTATTACTACTAAAACTATTGTTTGTGATTGTACTTGTCGTAATCGATGGAGTAGCTGCAGCTCCTCCTGGCGATTCTGAACCAGAACGTGCTTCTCCGCTGCCCGCTGCTCCTGCCCCCTTAAGTAGCTTATTGAGTTTGCTGCTGTTCAGAAGCATCTTGCGCGAGGTAGCGGTGGTTAGCGAGTCATCCGCAGCACTCCCCGCATAAGCTACGCTGCGATGCACGGCTGTGGTCTGCGATTGTGTTTGGATCTGTATTTGTCCTTGGGCGGGAGATGGACAGGATCCTACGGCTCCTGCCGCTAGGCTGCTGTAGTGCGGGTGTTGAGAATTCTGAAGATGCGGATGCTGGTGCTGATGATGGTTGATCGGTGAGCTGCTCATTATAAAGCCACCGGCTGCTGAGGCGCCGGCATTGCCACTCCCACCAGGACTTTTTAATTGGGCCGTCGTTGCACCAGCGGCGGCTTCGTACCATGACTGTGGTGGTGCCACCCGCGCGCTCTGCTGGTTCTGGTGGATATTGTGGCTGCTGCTTCGGTCGCCTAGCGCCTGGGGTACTCCTCCAGCTCCCCCCGGTCCAGATCCTCCAGCTCCAGCTGTGCAGGCTGCTGTCGTCGTCGTCGTGTTGCTGCTGTTGCCGCTGCTGTTATTGCCGCCGCTGTGACCGCTGGCAGAACCATTCCTGTACAGGCGATCTCGGTTTCGCGATCTCTCGGAAGATCCTCCTACCGCTGTTGCGGACACAGACGCAGAGGCGCTCACGTGCGATGGACTGGAGTGTGAGTTCGAATTCGCCAAGGAGGCAGAGTTGCTTGGCTGATACTGACTGACTAAGCGGCTGCTGGTGCGGTCGTAGTAGTTCCTTTCGAAGCTATTTGTCGGGGGTTCCTCTGTAGACCTGAAATAAGAGGAAAACCAAAATTGTAGGTCTCATCTATGTATGTTATTTGTAACTATTTATAGACTAACATTTTGCTTGTATTGGTAGTTCTGAACCATTTTTTTTTTGCTTTTAATAGCTAATAAATGTATCGCATCTTGATGTCAAACTATATTCCAAAATATAAACCCACCTCCGCATATTATATCTTGGTTTTCACTGGGAAAATCCTTGTCGTGGTAAGCTTCAGAAGGTAATTGGGGATTATTTTCACAGTCCCAGAAGCGGGCACCCCACCATTTGGCCCTATCATCGGTAATAACTCTATCGAAATTATTGCTTTTCCACTTATTCGCTTATTCTTAGCACTACTTTGGATCAGCACTTAAAGAAAAATTTCACTCGAGCAAATAAATAAACGGGCGCCAAATAAACTGACGTGCGACCCAATCCGCCGATTTCTTCTTCTTCCTGTTACTCGTTTGCGTCTGTTAACGCGGCAACACACACGCACTAACAAAAACTCTCACACACGGACGTGCCTGCACAAACGCACATTGACGCGAAGGGCACAAATACAGCGGCAGAATAAGCCGGGACCAAGAGAGCCACGTTCTTTGCTTGTTTTTTTTGTTTTGTTTAAAAGCCAACCTGTTCCTTTTTGTTTAATATTGGAAATATTTCTTCACTTTTGCCCGCCTTATGACTAGCTTCACGTTTTTTCTCGTCGCGATTTGCTATTTATTTAATAATTCGTTTAACAGCTTCTGCTCGTTTCGCTGATTTCGTTTTGTGCTGATATTCTTGTGCAGCGCTGCCAGACTGTCTGGTGCTCACGTGACGTAAGCATTTGACGTAGATTATTCGATAACGTAATGCCCTAACGTAATGTCATGTAGAAGTCGTGTCGATAATCGTTTCAGTTGTAAATTAACTGTTTAGTTGAAACGAACAATTCAATTTGCCTAAATTAAATTTAAATTTGTTAATTAACATATCTTGAATATATAATATTAATAAATTTTTTACATTTTTCATCTACAATTTCTCCATAGGTTTATTCACCTAATGATCCGGAGCTCTAACACCATTATTGTATTTTTCTTTTATAAACAACTCAGTTAAAATGTTATAAGCAAAATTATAGAATTCATATATAAAAGTTGTTACTTCCATTACTAGAGCGAACGAAATGGACCGAACGAAAGGTATGTTTAAACCGTTATTTTTACCTGAGTTTCCCGATTTCCATGCTAAAAACAAAGCCGTTTAAGGCGCAAAGCAACCCCCTGACAAATTAGAGCACAAAAGGCTCTACTCACCCCATAGACTGTTTTCTGAAGGGAAAAAGAGGGCTCAGTTCAGCGTTTGTCTTATTTAGGGGTAAACAGCACATCCAAGCACAACCTTTCTTATATGACCATTGTTGAGGTGGCCGAATTGCGTTTCACCGAATAATCTCGCAAGAGTTTCTTAAGAATATCAAAATGCAGAAATGAAAGCAAGAGAAAAAATCGGAAGTTAGGTAAATTTTAAAAATGTTCAATGTTTCCTTCTTTTGTGAACTTCCCCAGGCCAGCATACATTTTAAGCCACCATTTATATTCCAAGATATTGAATTGAAGCCATCTTAGTTTAGCCCAATCCCAAATCCTCTATCGCTGGCCAAATAAATATTTTTTAAAGCCACATTAAGCACTTTAAGCAGCATCACTTAAAACGACCATATAGAACACCCGGATACCATAAGCATCCTGCCGTGTATGTATGTGTTGGAAGGGGTATGATGGTAGTATATAATATACACATACTATGAACATAGAGGGAGATGGAGGGGGATGCTGCAGCTCTTTGTCGCAGCCCAGGTCATAGCTTGCTGGCAACAGCAGCAGAGAACGTACTAGACCAAGTGGCTACGATGCACAGGGCATGACTCAGGCGGGTATCGCCTAAATGCAATACAGTCCTCCCTGGACTTAAGCAAACCCATGTTCGGAATTTGTAAAATATTCTTATACCATTTTCATATTTAAAGCTATCTAATAGTTTACCAACATTTCTGAGTCGTGCATTGCTAAGTCTGAGTCTCACGTTTATAATACGAATATATTAATATACATGCTACTGTATGTAAAGGCACATCTAGGAAATGCAGTTCAGTGGAGAGAAAATGGAAAGAAGAGTTGAGATGAAACCGTTGCCCGGCATGCGCAGTAGAGCCCATCGGAAAAATCAATTCAGCTAAAAGTGCGCTCGGTTCAGGGAATTGCAGGGTCACACCAACCAAAACAATGACAACGACAGGCTCCCCAGCAATAACAACATTACTAAGCAGCATTGGTGGGTGGAGGCCGGTTTGTGGTCAGTCCAAGTAACGCTGCCGCCCAAAGCCACCCATAGAACAACCACAGCCGCAAAAGTGGGTGGACATTTAAGGACTGCATTACTGTCATGTATATAAAGCGCGACTGTGTGTGTTGGATCGGCTATGTATTGCCAGGAAGACGGGCTTAAATGGCTAAATCGTTGGTGCAGAGAAGAAGAAAAAAGGTATGAGCTTAACTTAATATAAAAATGTTCAATTTTATTTTAAGATTGATGGCACTACAAAAGACATGCAAAGATAAAAAAAAAATAAAAAATATCTTATGGTTTTGAAAGTTACAGTCAAATGCCGCGACTGTGAAAAAGGATTTACATTTAATAATTTTAAAATAAATATTTTCGGCCTCACAGCCATATTGAGAAATAAATATATTAATAATAATATCCCTTTATCCTGTAGGTTCATTTAGGAAGTGTAATTAAAATCCAGTTCATTCTTTACTTCATATATAGAATTTAAATGCAGAGAGTATCTTTCTACACGTGCAGAGTATCTTCGGTTGGCTGGACTGCCACCGCGCAGTTGTCCTGTCATTGGCCTGGCAAAAGTTGCTCACCAAACGTCCTTGTTTGAGGTTATTTATGTGTATTTTTGGCAGGGTCTCGTACATATAGGGAGGGGCAGAATAAGGAAAGGCTACAAGTCAGCAGGATAATTCAAAGTACATACAAACCCCGTAAGCTTTTACATAAGAGTTTAAACAATTGGAGGAACCCATTTATAGGCCTTCAATTATTGTTGATGGCGTTCCCTCCAATATCCCTGCTACGCTATGCTCCCAAGTACCGATTTTGTAGCATAAGATTAACATTTATATGAAAAAATATTCCTATGGCCTCTACATTTTCAAAGTGTACAACTAGTTATTTGGATATTAGCCCTTTGCAGTCGCAAATTTCTTGCAAGCTTACAAAGCTTGCTTTGATTGGAGAACTTTTATCATTTAAAATATGTAAAACAAATAAAAAAAATTTTTTTGATGTGTTTTTTATTGCATTCCAACAATTTTTAAGCTAGTACTGCTCCATTCCGCTCTTTTTTTTTTAACGGGAAATTAATATGGCTTATGCTTGTTTGAATGGTTGCTGATAATTACAGAAACTTTTTTTTCTTTTTCAGGAGGGACACACCCTCACGCCTATGACCTATGGTTCTATACAGCTGCAGAATGAAAGGTAAATTCACCAATAATTAAAAAACCTGAAATTTATTTAAAATTGTTCGTTTTCTATATTTACAGGCAACATTTCGATAAAACAAGTAAAAATCGATGATGCCGTATAAAGCGATTTAATAAAGAAACATCAGCAATTGTAACTACTTTTAGACCCTCTTAAGGTTATGAAGTATGCCAAACTATTGAAAGCAACCTGACTAACTAGCTGACTATCTGATTAAAAAGAAGTCCTGCAAGTTTAATTCTGTACAACTGTGTGTTCAGCTCTTGATATAGTCTGAGGGCAAATTTGATAAAAAAAAAAACATGGGGCAAGGCAAGGAAATCTCGTGAAGGTGGGGGCACCCCCACCGTACCCACGCTAAAGTGACGCAACCGGAAGCAAAAAAAAAAGTGGGAAGCAATGTGGGAGATGCCTATAAAGAATAATAAGCTGGGCTAAGGGCCCACGGAAAGAGCTGGACTTTCGCAGGCCGACTCAAAGTATTGAATGAAACTTATGCAAGACGAATGCTTAGATCGGCAGAGGGAGCTAGGAAAAACTCAGGAAAGAGCAACGAATTTTCACGGCGCCTGCGCGCTCTAAATTCCACTACATAATGTAGAAAGGAAATGCTGCTGCTGGGTGGGGTGAATTACATACGCAAAGTACATATATAAATGGCCAGGACATCGGTAGTCTTTCATATCCTGACTGCCACCCACAGCCGTAGGGCCATAAAAACAACATCATAAGTCGCAACAACAAATTCAGTAAAAGACAAAAATAGCGGAGTAATAAAAAGTACCAGAAGCTAGAAAAAAATCTAAAAATGTGCGCGAGACTTGAAAAAGCACCCGCCATCCAACCTTAGAGGCTGGGATTGTTTGGAAACGAGGTCGTGGAAATGGAAAATGAAAGCAGTTCGAAGAGACATTGGTGACGCCATGTTGATTTTTACAGGAAGTAGTTCTGCAGTGCTCTTTCAAATTCTTCTGGTCTTCCTGTCCCTCTCTCTCTCTCTCTCTTACGCATATGGCTATTTCCTAATATCGTAACTGCATTGTGAACGGACCTCCATTGGGAGTGGCATTAAACTGTAACTTAAACGACATCACCATTTAAATAGTACTATTAAGGATAAAGATCGAAGCCTTTTGCACTGCCTACTTTTCAGAGCAGTATCCTGTGCTCAAGAAACCCAGAAATAACACCAAAGATATCAGATAGTAGTCGTGCCTAAAAATAATTTTGCTTGCATGACTTAAGCTTTTTCTGTCCCATTTTCCGAGTGCACTTAATTGTATTAAATTCTGTCAAAGTAAGTCTAAGTCAATGATCATTTTTAAGGAAATCTCAATGCTAATTTCATTAACTCTACTCTGACATTAATTCAAAAAAATCAAACCTACTGCAATGTGCGAGGCACTGTTAACCCTATCTGCACTTTTACTGCCACCATTTGCATCCTTGTT